TTATTTCAATCGTCTATTAAAAATGGATGAACAGTTCTGTTCGCCGATGACACGATTGTTTTTCAAATTTTATTATTATTATTATTATTATTATTATTATTATTATTATTATTATTATTATTATTATTACTATTCACGAGCCGCCTCTTATGTTTATCTTTTTTGTTGGGTTGGAATACTCTGACCTACAATTGAGATTATACCCTGTTCTAATTATCTGCTATGTGAACTTCACCAAATTGACTTTATTATGCATTCTTTTCACAATTATTCTACGTTATTCACAGACTACCCACAAATACTAATTATTCTGTAATAATTCATCCTTTTTTTAAATTCTTGTGATGAACTATAATTAAAATAATATGATTATTTAAGTAAATTGAGTAAAATTAAAAATGGACTAAGAAGGTAGAGACACATTCTTCCAACTGGTATTTTATACATAGCACCAGTTTTCAAAATTAATAAATGAAAATGCAATGTTTTAAATGTTAATACTCATTCCTGTTCTACTAACTAAAATCAGTAATTTCCCTGAAAATGGTCCAAAACATTAACAATTAGATTTTCAAGCATCTGGATTTGGGTGAAAGCAAAATAAATTTTTGTTTATTTCACATTTGAAAGAATTAAAGGAAAATGTTTTGTCTGTAGTAAGTTTTTGTGGATTTTCACAACACATTTTCCCCCAAACAATGCTGATGAGGTTCAAAGATTCCAAAATGATTTTAATCAATTCAGTGGTGTATCCAGGCACATCAGCTGTTACGGTAATTAGTTCCATGTGTGTTGTGGACAACATAGTCAGGAATTAGCTGTGTTCCTCCCCCCCTGGAACAACTGATCTAGCACATTGGCTTGCAGGGTCTTTCCTCCGGGTCTCTCGCCTCAGCAAGGCACTACCCCAAAGGGAGAAACTCGGAAGTGCCAGACTGTTCTTTCGGCATGTGATAGTGTAATGCATCTGTGTGTGCGAGGTTATGTTCATGCGCATGCGTGCGCATGCATTTAGATTTACGTGCGTGTGTGTGCAGAGGTGGAATTCAGGGGAAAAGCTCCCCCCCCCCCCCAATGTTGGGATTTTTTTTAATATCGTAAACTACTTGGCCTCAATTTTTCAAGACTTTTGTGGTTTTTCCTTTACTAATAATTGAAAACCTGAAAAATGTTTATAATTTTTTTCTATAGACCTGCAGGTTTATTGTGAAGTGCTCGAGAGTAGTTTCATAAGATATATTTAACACAAATCACATTTTTTAATTGAGTTCAAGTTACACCGCTGTGTGAGATACTTGATGTTTTTGTAAATAAAACCACAGAGATTTGCACTGGGTCCATGTGGTCCTAGGTTTTCTTGTACAAACATGAATGTAAATATACTTCAAACACGAAAATAACTTCAATAGCTGAAATACAATTTTTATTACCCATTTTTTATCAGTTACTGTGGATGCCTACAAAATAATTTCACACATTCTCGCCCTTGAAGATTATTATCGAAAACAGTAACAGTTCAGCCGCCCATAGAAAAGTAAGACTTCACAATGAATCTGAAATTGAGGTCATCAACAGGAAACCTGAAATTACGGTGCTTAGCAAAGACCAATTTTTCGTCTTCAGATTACATTTTTGGTTGGCCCGTTTTCTGAATATATTTCTTCATCAGTCCTCTCTTTATAGTGGATCGACGATAAAGGAAGCTTTAGCTTGACTTTGACATTAATCTCGACAATTGCTGCCAAACATTCCTCAATCTGATGGTCCTTATAATCCGCATATTTACAATTTGAAATCTTTTGTATTTGTGTACTCTAACAGTCATATACCCGTAAAAGCAAGAGAAAATCACTATTGTTGGTTTTAAATATAGGAATAAAACTATTAACGCATTAAAAATATAACAAAGAAAGTTTTGAGTTACTTGACCCCACTGTGAGCGTGGGTTCAAGTTGCCTGGTTTTAGAGATTATGTGCTCACAATTAGAAAATCTGAAAATAATGGGAAAGTCGTTCTACTAATGACGAAGATATAGCCGTTCTATTAGCAAATATAGCATTACCAAAATGTAAACTGATCCCTTGATCAAAACTGGTTTAATGCCACACTGTGTTGCCATCACACGAAAGCAACTGCAAACTAACTGGTCAATGCAATGCAACATTTTTTTTCGTGTGGGTCCAATCAGTCTCTAGCTTTGGACAAACCAATGAATCGTAGTAGCTAATAATGCTTTACTCCTGTTCTAAAATTTTCAACCCCCAGTGACCTTGTATGTTACTATCTCTATAGGTGATATAAACTGGTAATGTTGCAATTTCAAAATTATAAATACGTGCCCAAAAATACGTGCAGCTACGAATAATGATGAATGATTGGAATTTAGTACAGCTACATTTTTTTACTTTTTTTGCTCATATGAACAAAATTGCACTTTAAAAAATCATCTGTAAGTTGCTCTCCAGCCTTATTCTCTAATAAGATCGTTCTCAATAGTTCCGAAAACTCTGTCGTAAAATCTTCTACAAACGTAAACGTCGAACGTAAGAACGTAAATGTGCTTCTGTAGCATCACTCGCAGTTTGGTTTTCTCTACAATTATCTGAAGATCAAGTTCAATAAGTTCCTAAGCAATACTGTTCTTAGGTTTTTGCAAATGTATTTTTAAAAATACGTTAATACAGATGCAAATTAAATGAAATTTGCTGCGCGGCGATTCATTTGTTGCATTCAATGTAACATACAGAGATCTATTTGGGTGGCGTTGGTTTAATCTCCCGACATACTCGCGAAGATGGCAACGCTAAAGCACGCAAAAACACGTTTTGGAAGTTTCTTAAAATCTTATGGCCGGATCCGATTTCGGTACTAATTGAAAATGATCTTATTGAAGAAAAACGCTGAAAATCAGCATACGGGTGATATTTTATGTGTATTGCTGTATAAGCAAAAAAGCGCACAAAATTGGAGCTGCACTAAAAACTATTCGCAATATCCATACCTGCAATACTCTATATTGAATATAATAGTCTGAAAGTATATTTTTATTGTAACGCACCATATTGTTTAGAATTGCAAGGAACATAGGTACAAAATATGATTAAATAAATCATTTCTTTCATAAATTTTCTAGCGTTTTTAAGATTTCGAATGCCAAAAAATAGGTGCGTCTCACTAAACAACGTTTCGCGATAAAAATCATGTTTTCCAGCATTACTTGCAATCTATGTTAGCATAGTCACCAAACGGAAAACTTTAGGCCGTTGCGTTGTCCATGTAAAACTATTTTCTTTAACGGATCTTCAAAAGAAGAAATTGTCAACGCTGCAAAACCTTCGGATTTAAAAGTCATAGAGCAAATAATACAAATACTTCTACAAAAAAATACTTGTATTTGTATGATACAACAGTCCTAGCGTCAACGTACAGAGTGTTAGAGACCAAAAACTGCGTGTTTACATTTTTTTAATTGAGAAAGTGAAATTATACGAGTGATGTTAAGTAAGACTCTTTTATTACAGTATATCTTGTATGTTTTCCCATTATAATGTAAGATATATCGTAAGTAATGCATATTTGTTTAATGCCAAGTGTTCACTGAAAAAGCAAACCTGTTTTCTCCACTGAATATTTTCTGTTAGATTCAACGTTAGTATAGTAATTTCACTTTTCTGTTATTATAAAAACGAATTTGTTGTTTTAATAATAATGTTTGTACCATTATCAAAAACGTTTCATTTTTTTTGGACAACAGAACAATTTTCATTACAAATGTATAATAAACACTCAAATAAATGCACAGAACTGTTGCAGCTATTTTCAAGTGTTTATGATTTAAAATGGTAAAAATGGTTTTTATTTTCTTAAACTACAGCTCAGCAATTGAAAAAATCTTTCAAAAAATTCATGTTTTTTGTTCTAAGAAGAACTTTTGAGATTTTTTGCAAGCCTGTTCCAGGGTTCTAAGGCAGTAAAAATAGTTGGGTTATTTTTTTTGTTTTTTTAACTTGGCGTTAGAGAAAATATCAAATTTTTTTCTGATAGTATAAATTATTTTTTTCTTTTTTTTCAATCAGATAAAGTGGTGTTAAGTTGAAGAAAAAAGTTTTTAAAAAAATCTTAAAAAATCACTTTTCCTCCTGCAGGTAGGTGTGGGTGGTGGACAGGGGCTTTTTACACTCTTATGTAGCGGGACCCATTACTCCTCCAATAAAAGATCTGAAATCCCACCTCTGTGTGTGTGTACATGCGTGCGAGTGCATGCATGTGTTAGAGGGAAATAGGGGCAAAATTAAATGAGAGATCACACATGACATGAGGTCCATTCGCTACAGTATTGCTCTATAATCGACCTGATATTGATTGGAGAAATTATGGAAAACTACTGATCAGCACAACCACAGACACAATTTTACTGCTCAAACCAAAGACTCCTTAGTTGAGAGTCACTGCAGTGGCATTTGCTTTAATATCTACATTTTTGAGAGTTCTGAATTTCTGTATCACAGTAAATAACCAACACGATTACAAATATTGTTCTCTAATCCAGAGGTTTTCACATCAAGATTGTGTAAAGATAAAGAATGTGCACAAAAATGAGAATCAAGGTAAGGAAACAGCATATTATTTAATCACAACTACTTTCAAAGAAAATAAATGTTTCTAAGATATTACACAAGGAATACGCAGTAATTTTTGCTACATAGTAAAAGAACAGCAGATTAGCTCATTATGTATCTTCTCCTTGAATTTTAATTATCTTTCCAAAATTATTTAGTGTCATGAAAATTGTATTTATGCTACTGTTCCCATCTCACACAATAAAGCTAACGTGAGCTGCATTTCGAAAAAAAAATTGAGATAAGTTGAAAAAAGGCTAAAAATTTCAAATCTCTCTGTACAGCAAAACCTCCTTTTTTCATTCAACGAATATGAAAAGATCCAATGTGACAAAAGAAAGGAGTTCATTATTGCAGGAAATAAGCTTGATTACACAAAATTTTAATTATTCTTTTTATTAATTCTTATATTTACTGATAAAAAATTATAATTATGCAAATGTTTCAGAATCATAAGAAGTGGTGAGAGTCAACAAGATGGAAGATTATATCCAATCGCAAATAATTACCATCTTCCAGAACCAGTTAATATTTTCCAACAATTTCAGAGACAATACGTAATAACTCTTCTCCATTACACAAATATGATGCAAATATTATATTTAATGTGAAATATTTACTTTAACAAGGAAGTCATCAATTCTCATTCAAATTAAGAAAACCTAAAAGAATTCAAGTAAAAACAGAACTTTGACACTTCACGTCAGTGCTACATTAAATACATGTTCATTTAAAAATATCATTTAAATACTCCATGTTCTTTTTCTTAACACAGAACTTTATAGTAATAAGGCAGCTCCAAGTATAGTATACCATTAATATTTCACTGACCATGAGAAGAAAGTTTACAAACAGTAGAGCCAAATAATTCCAAATAATAATGTCAATTTTTTTCTGAAGTCCTGTATTAACCTGATAACTAGACTAAGTTAACATGTACATATAAATGTTAAAAGAAGTTGACAATACAAAAAAAATGTACTTTTTCAAAAGAATGGTCTTATTTTTTTGTAATGATTGGTACACCCTTCCACCACTTTGCCCTTATGTCTTCATACATTCAAAACATATGATTTCAAGATATCACTTTGTAATATAAGTTCAATTCACTTGTGATGACACATTAAAAGATTTGTATCAAATTACATATGAAATATTGTATGTTCTTTTTCACAACTATAACAGATAAAATTATTACAAATAATATTAATTTAGAAATCTATAATCATAAACAAGAAAAATAAAAACACAAGAACAGCATATTAAAATATAAGATTTAACTTCTAATATAGAACAAATCCACACAATGTTTAAATACACATTATGTTTGATAAAATGACTAGATCCTAGAAGGAATGTTTTCGCATAGAAGAAAGTACAGCTTATTACAAAAACACACAAACATTTAAATGAAATGCAAATCACTTCAAAATCTGAAACAGCCACAATAACTCACTCTCTTTTATAATACTGTACATAGGCCTATGCTAGGTTTTGTCGGTTAATCATGAATTTCAATCTTTGTTATAACAATTATAAGAAGCATGCTCATAATTCAATATATGTGAACATGTAGTAGATGTGTATTATTAGAATGTTAACAGAGTTAAAGTATTAACAAGTACCAATGATTGGAAACCATGATACCGACAAGACCAGGCAAAAACTTAACAAATTGTTTTGAATTATAACACACTATTATATACACTAGATACAACACAATTACTTTATCTCAGCTGCCTACACAGCTGATAACACAATGTACATGCTAGAACAGTCAGCAGTACTATCAAGATATTGGCAGTTCACTTGCAATAAGGCAAATCCTACTCCTTTTCTTGATTTTCTCACACATAAATATTAAAATAAAAGAAACTGGTTAATGAGTAACATAGCAATTCTATTGATACAATAAATTTACCAGCAATAAACAAAATACACTCAGCAAAAACTCACATGAAATTAAAATGTTCATCTTTTAGTTTAACTTATGATTTACAATCTATAAGACAATTATTTTCAGAATCATCAGATGTAATGAATAATAAGTTTTTTTACAAAAATTAAATAGTCAACATCCCCAAAAAGTTCTTGAAATATAAAACTTTTGTACAATAGACTGATTGACCAATAACTATAACATGACATAAGAAGGACCTTAGGGACAGGTCCAACAAATATATTTGGATCTTTAAAGATTTTCAACAAAATAAAGCTACCATTGATGTATTTTACGAGACATGCAGTGCAGATTATCGTAAAACAATTTCATCACTGGATTACAATAGTGTAAGTACAATGTAGCCATGACTTCAAAAATTAAAATACATTTCTCTTCACATTAATTACGTTCTTGGCAAAAATCACAGTGTAACATGACAATTTCATTCCACATTTCTTTCATGCAGTAATGCTATTAGCTCATTCTTTTCAATCATTCAACCACACCGGAAAGAACTTCAAAACTCCTACAACAGTGTAAGGCAGAAATGCTTCAAAAACACTACAGTAATTTACATAAAGTTCAAAATATTACATGTTAAGAATACTTCCAAATGACAACATACACCTTTCCAATTTTTAAATTGTAATCTTGCTGCACATAAATTATTTGTACCAACAAGACAAGAAACACCTTAATAAATGGGGAATCAATCAATGAATAAAATGAATGAATCAATCAATCAATATGTAAAAATATCATATAATCAATAAACAAACCAAATAAACAAACAAGCAAATAAATCATCCCCAAACCAAACAACAGAAGACATAACATCATAACAGGGCAATTAGCATACACAAAGTATACATCCTGAATGTGAATCAAAATATTTTTCTCATGATGCTACATTTAAATCTCACTCCCCAGCATAAAGCACAATTCTTGTGTTAATAGTACTATGTACACGAGTTCACATAAGACTTACTGAAACCCCCAATAAATAAAGTGTATAAACTAATAAACAAATGAACTTCAAATATGAGAATCATTTAACAAGTTTTATTTATAAATGTAACAATTATTCTTAAAAGTTCTCTATTTTTTCAACACTAATAAACAGATTTAATTGAAAATGCTATTGAATGAAAAACAAAATCACAATATACAGTATTTAACACAAAGAAATATTAATAAATTGCAGAAAAAAATATCAATTGTATGTCATGATCATAAAAACGTACATTAAAACCAGAGCTTAATGCGCTACATACTTAGCAACAAAAGGAAGAAATGAAAAACTGCTTCATAAAGAAAGGAGAAATAAAATACGGATTTTGAAAGATCATCATCAAGAAGAAGAATATTATCCATCTATTATTAAGTACCTCTATAAAATCTATTCACTCAATAAAACCATAGCATATTCTCAAAAAGCTAGGCAAACCTTTCATCATACAACATTCAAAATCACAAAACAAAAATCCCACACATTCTAACTTTAAAAATTACAGCTTTTTTAAAAGAAAGAGACGTGGAGATAATACAATACTGATACTGACAGACAGATTGCTCTTAATATATAATATATTAGTAAATGGTAACTAGGCAAAATCTTCTGCAATGAAAGTGAAAAAGAATTCACAACTTCTACACGCATCCTCTATATACACTTTAAAAAAATATAAATTAAAATTCACTAGGTGCTCCATTTTCTGCAAGTTCACTCATGACCTCACTTCCTTCATGCTTGCATATGTAAAAGTTGCCATGTCATCTATACCAGATGTCAGTACAAAACTTTCACATGTTGAAAACAATAATAAATCACACTCCTGGTGCAACTTTTCAAAACAAGCCTGTAAATACAATGAATTTTAACACCCACACTGTTAAAGTCATTCATAAAATTATTTTCAGTACAGTAACAGACGGAACATGCAAAATTGGAGTAAGAGATGAAATCACATTCTTACCATTTCATAAATATGTAGTCCCTATTAGGTTCGCCAAGAACTGAGGCGACCTTGTTTTAGCCTTCAGGACGAATAATAAAAATTGGCAGCTCGATTAATGTCATAATCCGCAGCTAAAGCAATCTGAAAACAAAACATACATTCTTATTTCCCTACAATATAATATTTCTAATATCATCTGTGATGTGGGTTTCAGTGTTACACATGGTCTTAAAAGGAAAAATTTACTGAATTACCTGAACCAATTGATCACGAGAAACTGATTCACCTACAATATCTCGCAACTGAACCAAACAGCTTTCCAATCGAGCAGAATCTTGTGTTAAAGGTAATTCTTCCAAAGAACTGGAGTCTGATGCTTCCACTTCTCGACTATTGATGTGCATATTCGATGCCATTTCTTCTAAATCAGATAAAGACGTTGGTGTTTCTGGAGTGGGACATTGAGGAAAAGGCAAGAGTTTCTCTGTAGTCTGCGATTTCCTGAAATTTACAAATAGAAAACGTATTGAAAGAAGGTAACTGTGGAAGCCATTCAAAATAAATAACTTAACAATCCTGCACTATTATAAACACAGAGGTGGATTATCAGTCATTTTGTTTCTATTTTCTTTTCTTTCCTTATGATATACATTTCTAATATGTTGAATTAACCATAAATTGGTTGTTGAAATATACATTCATAACTTAAATGTTCATTAATCCTCTAGCTCTGAAAATTATATTCCGAACAGTAAACCCCTGGAAATGCAAATGTAAATATTACATCAATTGTGTCTCTTTGTTGTCAATAACTATTTTTGTCCTTCTGTGTTCTTAGCCAATAAGCCCATTGCTTTGGCTTCTGTTCTGAATATTCTCACTCCATGCTTCTTTACAAACATGTTCGTTCTTCCCTAACATGTGCATCCTCTACTTTATCTTCTGATTCCATGAAAATGATATAGTCATCTGCAATTAGTATTGTTTTTATTTCCTGACCAATTCCCTTAACTGTAACTCCATTCACATCTTCCCTTGCTGTCATTATGATGTGGCTGAGATTTCTAATAGGCTTTTGATTCCTCTTATGTTTTTCAAAATGTTCTTCCTTAAGAATGTCCCAAAACCATTCCTGTTTACCCTATCACTTGCCTATTCATAATCTATAAATGAATGATTCCAATTGTGTGAGTGTAGCAGAAGTTATGAGTGTGTGTGGGTGTGCGAGTGTGGGCATGAATGTGTGGGTGGATTTAAGAGTGTGTGGAGGTGTGAGAGAGTGTATGAAAATGTGTGTTTGAGAGTGTGAGGAAGTGGGAGTTTGAGACGGTGTGTGTGCGGATGGATGTTTGAGACGGTGTGTGTGCGGATGGATGTTTGAGACGGTGTGTGTGCGGATGGATGTTTGAGGCGGTGTGTGTGCGGATGAATGTTTGAGACGGTGTGTGTGCGGATGGATGTTTGAGGCGGTGTGTGTGCGGATGGATGTTCGAGACGGTGTGTACGGGTGAATGTTTGAGAGAGGGGTCAAGAAAGTGTGCGGGTGGGTGTTTGAGACAGTGTGAAAATGAGTGTTTGAGTGGGTGTGCAGGTGGTTGTGCGGGTGCTTGTGTGTATTTGGGAGGGGGTGGGTGTTTGAGTGGATGTGCAGGTGTGTGTGTTTTTGAGAGGGTCTGGGTGTGTTTGAGTGGGTGTGCAGGTGTGTGTGTTTTTGAGAGGGTGTGGGTGTTTTTGAGTGGGTGTGGGTGTTTTTGAGTGGGTGTGGGTGTGTTTGAGTGGGTGTGGGTGTTTTTGAGTGGGTGTGGGTGTTTTTGAGTGGGTGTGGGTGTGTTTGAGTGGGTGTGCAGGTGT